GTAGGGTCGGTTTGAGGTTGGTTCCATTTGGTTTCTTGTAGATCCTATCCATTTGCTCACCTCTAATAACACCCAAAAATAATCTAACCTGGCTTTGCTTTCATCATGCAAATATCTTCCCAAACTCCATTAGTAAGTACTGATATGTCTCCACAATTGACTTGCAAATAGAGAAAGAATTAGTCTCTTCATTATCTATATTACTATTAAAAGTGTAAATAAGGTCTAGATTTTGGACTTTTTCTAAAATATCCTTATTTTTGAATTTGATCCCTCTTTATTATGAGGGTCAAAAACATAATTTGAACTGCCATTTTTAAGGTTTGTTTGGTTTGTAGTTGAAACTGGAATTGAAATGGTCTATTCTCATAGCCTATTTGGTTCAAATGAGAGTTGGAATCAGCTAGAATGTGATCCCATTCCCAAGAGAGGGGGAGGGAACGGCCGTTTCCTTAAATGAGGAATGCCATTCCACCGGGAATGGGAATAGGATTCTCATTCTACCCAACCAACCAATTGAAATTTGAACGATTATAGACCCCTGTTCTTGTGAAACCAAATGGGCCTTTATTAAATTCTTTCTATTGCCTCTTATTAAGTCTTATGTTTTAGGTATTAATTCCCATTCCCTCTCACTAAATCCTATATTTAGGGTACATCAATAAATGAACTTTGTGAACTTTTCTTGATTAAAACACCCATACTTATGAATTTGGTCCCTCTCTAACTTTGTGGGTAGAAAATATAAATTAAAGTACCATTACATTAATTCCACTTCATTCAATTCTTTATCATTAAGGTGTTAATTCCCAATCATTAATAGGGAAGCAATGATGTCATAAGTTAAATAATAAAAGTTAGAAAAATAGACAAAATGTAAAAAAAATTACAAATACAAAAATTTTATAGAAAATTATGACATATCTAACATATTATAAATTTGTCACATTAAACAAAAATAAGTGTGATAAAGGAATTATTTTTAGAATTAATTTTGAGAATTGAATAAAAAAGTTAAAGTTGTCCAAGAATGAGACCTCTTTTTATTTCAAGTCAAATAGGTCAACAAACATGATCATCATATAATAAAAACTCAAAACAGATAGAAATAAAAAAATTATAGAAAACACAAATCTTACACATCTCATATTTAATCAATAATAAATATGTTAGATAAGAAGTATTTTTATTGATTACAAAATTAAAATATAAAATTAAAATCCAATAACCACCATGCTTTAATTACTTTTCCCTTTTAATGGATTCTAATTAAGATATTAAAATTATTATATATTATTATATGAAATTGTCATGTATAATATACGTACATATTTACTAGTCAAAATAAAACACATTTCTGTATTTCCATAATTTACACAGACAAATAAAAATTTCAACAATAATGTTAGAATTTGGCTTCACTGACTCTTTAACAATGCTAAGAGAACCATCTATCAAAAGGAATGGATTCAAAACCTTCATCTGGTCTCCAACCAACCCTAACACCCAACCAGATGCATCTGGTTCGATGTTGAGGTCAGCCTTCGTAATAAACCTTGGAACTTCGTAAATATATCCTTCACCATGTATTAAGGGTACCATTGATGGGACAGGGTGGGTTAGATTTGATATTTTATTAGTTGGTTCAGGTTGAAGTGCTTTGGTTTGGGTTGAGTAAAACCCATACCCGACCCGACCCATTGATGCCATCCTTAAAACCGTCAACTTGATTCTGTAAGTCTGAAATCCGATTTGACTATAGAAGCAAGTCGGATTAAAATTTTTGACATGTTATTATATAATTATATATATATATATATACATGCATGAAAATATATATCTTATTTTTTATAAATGGATATTAAGTTCATGTCAACAGTTTCTCTCTCTTCACTATATAACTTTGAATTTCACATAACCCATTTAATGATAGTTCAATTGTCCAAATCAAATGGATTAGCCCATAAAGATACATTAAATGACAAAATATAAAAAAATATATAAAATATACATATATAAAATTATATGTATATACATGAAAATATATCTTATATTTTTTGTATAAATGGATATTAAGTTCATGTCAACAGTTTCTCTCTCTTCACAATATATCTTTGAATTTCACATAGCCCATCTATCTAGGTGATAGGTTAATAGTTCAATTGTCCAAATCAAATGGCTTAGTCCATAAAATCATAAATTAAATGACAAAATATAAAAAATATATAAAATTATGTAAAAAATAAAATTTACAAAAATTTGAAAATCTTGACATCTTCTCTAATATTCTGATATTTTATATTATTATATTAAACAAAAATAAGTGTGATATTGAGAATTATTATTATAAATAAATAAAATAAATTGAAAATACAAAGATATAGTAAAAGATAATTAATTTTTAATTTTTTCCCGATAAATGAAAAAGATAATTAATGTTTAACTTGTAATTTGCTGATATACCCTTTAGGCATAATTTGAAAGTAATACAAATATAAATATGTAGAGTGCAAAACCTTGTATTTTGTATTATTTTGTATGCATTTGCACACTAGTTACATATTTGTATTTATAAAGAACTGATTTTAATTAGGGCATTTGATTAGTAAAATGGCATAATATCCAACATTGTACAATATTGAATATCCATATTTAGGTGGTTATCATATATTTGCCTTTTTTTTTCTTGAAAGATGGGATATATGTTTGCTTCGATGGATCTTTTATTGGAACATATGTGATGTGGTCAAGGTCATCAATGGAGTCCAAAAATTTGAAACCTAATTTCACAATCAATTCAGTCATTTCATTTGCAAAGTTTGATCAGATTTAGAACATAATTTGATCTGAACTAGTGTGGTATAATTAGGATTGTCAGTGCAGTCAAAATAATAATAATAAAAAGGAAAATTTCTAATTTATCCTTCTTACAAATTTTTATTGATTTTTTAAATATATTATCCTGAACCTTCACCCATTCTTACATTACTCTCATATTGTCATTCATTCCGGTCCCTACAATATATGATCTTTGATTCAATATTTAGTTCCATTATTTTAAATTTGTACAATCTACTCACATATACTCAAATCATATCTATGAAAATATCATTTTGGCATTCAAATTATAAAGCTGATAATAGGGCTGAAAATTGATCATATCAAATTGGAATAGAGGATATCTAAAACTGATTTGATAAGAATCCTAGAGGTCAACTATTGAGGCCTATGTACAAAACGTAATTCCAATTTTATTTGTTTACAGATCTGGATATCTGATCTAAAATTGATTTGATAAAAGTCTTAAAAAGGTTTTATAAATTTAACATAAGTTCATAAAGTAAATATAAAACAAAAGGTCTTCTCATCATCCAAGCCTTATCCAATTATATGGGGTTGACTATTCGTGGTTAAATCATTTCTTACTATTTTTATCCATGTCTATTTTGGCTTTTTCTAGCYCTTTTAGTCAAAGTTTTTAAAATCGATCCGGAGAATGAACCAGTTAGGGATTCGGTTCTCAGGTCGAATGGTCCGACCATTTGAGTTGAACGGTCAGTCCGTTTTGACAAAAAATAAAATAAATTTAAAAAATAAAAAACAGTGAAAACCATTCGAACGGTTCAAACAGTTCGGACGRTTTGAACGGTTAACCGCCTGAGTCAACGGTTTGCTGACCAAAATCAATGGTTTTTGGGAAAAATCTAGTTTTCTGGAAAAATGGAACTGGTCACCTGTTTTTCTAGTCCGGTCCAGTTTTGAAAACCATGCTTTTAGCCTTTCTAACTTGAAATAAATTACTTTTTCTTACCGGGTGGTCTCGTATACATGAAATCAACTAATTAAACTATCTTAGGGTCCGTTTGATTTGCAGGAATAGGGGTTTGGAATCGGAATCAGAATGGGCTATTCGGATAAACCCATTCCCATTCCTGCTACAATGACATTCCTCTATTTGAGGAATGAAATCCCATTCCTACCAATTTTAATTCTCATTCCTGTCTAAATCAAACAATTATGAAAATGGACCATTCCAATTCTGATTCTAGAGGATTTCAATTCTGATGCCGATTCTGATTCCAACTACGAACCAAACGGACCCTTAATCTACTTTTTCTCGGTTTATCACCTATTTACCAACTCCTATATTCTTTCAAATGGCCACAATTATGATCCTTTTATTTTTTGTTCTTCCACTCATCCATCTCAATGTATATTTCGGTCGCACTCTTTATTTGGAAATGTTGTTTCTTGGATATCCGGTGCTCTACTCTACTCTATACAACATAGTAGTTAGTCTTACAATTATTTTATATATTATTTTTTTTACAATTTAAGTGATATTTACTTATCACAATAAAACTTCCGATTCACCCTCCATTAGCCCATCTTACCCTAATTCTATGGCAATATTCTCTTCAATCTCTTTGTTATAAATTATAGAAACAAGATATCAAATGTCAATTTCAGCTATCTTTTAATCTCCAATCTCAAATGTCATCTAATTTACACTCTCTTATTTATAAATCTCTTATTCTCTTACTATTATTTTTAAATCTCTTATTTATAATGCATTTGTCCAAGTTTAAATAACTTATACACTTCTATATATTTTCACCATGTTATGTATGATATCACGGGTAGATCCGTTTGATACATACGGTTGAACCGCTGATCCGACACCCGAATAAACGGTTCCATTTCCGGGTTGTTTCTTTGAAACATTCGGTGAAATCTGAAGGTTATGATCCAACGGCTTAAATGTCACATCTTCAATCCCAAAAGCGATAGATTGTAATCCAACGGTTAGACATCTCTTCACTTGTCCCCGCCGCCAATGGTACCCTTCCTTGTCTCATTCCTAGTTCCCTATTTAATGAACCTGCATTTCATCATTACGTATTTTGTCTATCTTTTCAAGCTCCAGTATCCAACCCACTCTCCCCTCATTCGCTCTCTCCTTCTTCCTCCTCTCTCCTGAGAATCCCAACCGTCTCTCCTCTCCTCTTGTATATTTGTCGATTCTCTCTCTCTCTCTCTCTCTCTCACTCACTCTCTCATCTCTGTTTCTCAACCAAAAATGTTGAATCCAGACGCCAGGCCCTACAAGCTGAAAAGCCCATCTCTTCCTCTGTTCTATCCACCAGCTCCACCACCACCAAAGATGGCAACGGTGGTTCCAACTCTTCCACCGCAGCTACCACCCTTTGGGGCCTTTGGGCCTCTATTTTATCATCCATTTTACCCAGTTACAGGCCATCAGTACCGACGACCATGCAGCGTTTACTACTGTCCTCCACCTCCACTTCATTTTCCTACTTACGCAAGCTGCACCATTGCTGCAGAGAACCAGATCAAGAGCATGGAGGTGAAAAGTGGCGGTATTTCAAGAAGGATTTTTCCAGCGAGATTTAAGGGGTCATACAGACGGCCCTTCTGGTGGGGTTTCCAAGAGAAGAGTAGCTGTAGGTGGATTTGGAGACCAAAGGCCGATAAGGCGGAGGAAAGCGGCCGTTCATGTTCAAAGCTGGAGACTGCAGATAATCTCCGTTCAACTCCTCCCACTCCCACGGTGGTGTTTAATGGCTGTGAGTCCATTCTTCATGGCAGTACAACTGTTATGATAAAAAATCTGCCCAACAAATTGAGGTTTTCCTCTCTCCCTCTCTTTGTATATCCAAAAAAATATTCATAGTCCCTAGACTTTTTGCTTGAGAACATTTCTGCATTCTGCATTCTGCATTCATGCACAGCCGGAGAGAGCTCTCTCTCTCTCTCTCGCTTTCACTCTCCTATTTCAACATGGATCATGGATGCATTTTTTCTCTTGTAAAATATTTACGTTAGCAAAGTCCCAGTTGGAATTTAAATGATCGTTGCTTGCAACAGATCATAACCTCGAATCCTGTTTGTAATTTGTATTTTTCTTCATTAATCTACACACACTTTCTCACTCTGCATTTTGTTTTGTTTTTTCTTCTGAACTTGTTATTTGTACTTCATGTCAGTAGGGAGATGTTGCTGGGCTTACTTGACAAGCACTGTGCTGAGGAGAACGAGAAAGCCCAGTTGGGGTTGGACTCGTGTCTCTCTGAATACGACTTCGTGTACCTTCCCATGGATTTCTGGTAATCTTCTCCTCTTTTCTGTTTCTTCTGCAGTTTTCTGTAACAAGAAAAGAAAGAGAAAACATCAGTAACCCTTTTGTTTCAGAGGTTGATGTTTGTGGATTTTTCTTCTCTCTCCACTCCTCAGGCTTGGGAACAATCTGGGTTACGCTTTTGTGAATTTCACCAGCAGCGTTGCAGCAGAAAGGTTCTACAAATCGTTCAATAATTACAAATGGAACAGGTTTGAATCGAAGAAGGTTTGTGAAATTCGCCAAGCTAAGATCCAGGTGAGCTTCACCTTTCTATCTTTTCTATACACATTAAGAACTTTCTTCATTTTTTTTTAATTTGGGTTTTCATTAGTTCTATATCACTTTCTTTCTTTCATCTGGGTTTATTTCAATTTCCTTTTTTTGCATCTGGTTCAGGGAAAGGAGGCTCTTCTTTCGCGTTTCCGGGCATCCAACTTCGCTTGTGATACAGAACTCTTCTTGCCAGTTCTTCTCTCCCCACCTCGGAACGGTTCTACATCCTGTCCACCTCCTTCAGTCGTGGGAAGACTGAAGACCAGTTAGGGATGATGCCCATGAAGAATGCCAGGTCGCAAATGACCATTTTGCCCTTGTGATTTAAGCCAGGCGTTTACTTAAAATTAAATAAAAAATCACACGTGGCAAATGTTTGTGGTTTTCAGGCTTTAAGCAATCCCCACCGCCCCACCCTTCCTAGCTTGGGAAGTTGCAGCTTATGATTAGTCGGCTTCTCGGCTTCTCCTTTTATCTTTCTGTCAGTTATAGGTTTAGAAGAATCCATTGTGTTATATATACTACGCAGGATGCGCTCTGTGCATTGATGATGGTGATGATTACCTGTGTTTTCATTCTATCCCCAAGATGGCTTAGGATTCTGTGTCTAGGGTGCGTAGTACGCCACTGGGGGAGGGAATTAGAAACATGGGTTATAAGTTGTAGGTTGTAACTCTTTTTGATAAGCAGTTAGAGCTTGGAACTTGGGTACTGCTTATTTGTCTGAACTTTTTAATATTAGGGGTGTAATCATCTTGCCAATGGGTGTAAGTGTAACCGTGCAAGGTTTCTTTTATTTTGTGTTTTTGTGGTTTCTGAATCCTGAATGCTCTTTAAGGCGTGTTTTGATGATAGTTGAAGACTTGAAGCGGCTGAACTGATAGAATAAGTTGTTCAGGAGGTTGTGAACTCTTTCAGTAGATCCTTAATAGCTGAAGCTCAAAAGTGGGTTGGTTACCATAAACACCCACTGAAAGATAMAAGAATAGGTCATTCAGTTCAGCTCCTTGATGGTGATCAGGGTTTCTATCTTTATTAGGTCAATAAGCCTCCCAACTCTCCAAAATTTCATTTAGAGGTTCAAGGTATTATCAGCACAAACCATTAAAAGGTTTAAATGACAGAGTGTAAAAATAGTTGAATAATTTACTACAAGTGTTGGGAAATGATGGAAGAGTTGAGATATGTAAACATAGTTGATAACTCGATATAAGCGGTATTAATTGTTGTATCCAGAATGGATATTTTCAACCTTCTAGTTTAATTTCCTCAAATATTATTTCATTTTATGTAAAATTCAATGGTGATTTATCATGAGTGCATTTGATATAAATGGTCACTGTTTCTTAGCAAACCTTTTCCCTGACCCAGACTTTTTAGATCAGATATTACTGACATTTCTGGAAGAAAATGGTTTAAGCGTTTTTCAATATATTTTATCAGTAAAAAAGTCTTTTAAATTATATTGGTTCACTGGTTTGATATTTGGAATTCGTTCTGCGTTAATATTTGTAATTTTAGWAAGTGTAAATTTACAAATTGTTACTTCATACAAATTGACTTGTCTGAACCTCCAATATTTATTCAAGATTATGGGGGAAATTTAAAATGTCATTGATGTATTAATGGTCATTTGAACAACAATGTTGAGTGATAAGCTGTGGATTAATTATAGCTTAGTTCTGATTAATAATCTTATTTATTAATGAATTGAAGAAGATTGGCATTGCCTAAATGATGGGAATAAATATTAAACTCTAGTGATGTATTTATCAAGGCTATGATTGGATAAAGTTCTGTTTTAAATAACTTTTTGAAGAATGAGTTATGAGTAATTTCTTAAAAGCTTTTTTCTTCTCTTTTTTTAAGTTATAAACAATTAATTCGTAGAATGAATTATCAGATTAGATGAAGATCCTCTTACTGTTACTGTCATTACCAGTAATAAGTCTTTTGACTTTTGAGGTGAATTTTCCTTCCCTTCAACAGTTGTGATTCCTTTTCCCACATGACCCTTTTGTGGGAATATTTGAGTTTATGAAGTCAATCCATAATTTCTAGCTCAGTACATATTTTCCATACTAATTTTTAAAGAAGGCATGAAGGTCTCTGAAATTAAGAGTGTCAATGGACCGGTTTTGGATTGAACCCTATCCAGTCCAAAATCAATTTCGGTGGATTGGATGGTTCAATAAAATATATTGGGTTGGACCAATTTGGTCTAAAATATTTATTAGATTGAATTGAACCTGGTATATCCATAACAAATCTATATTGGGTTGGATTGGATTAAATCAATATCTAGTCCATTTATATAAGATAAGAATATATGTATCAATGGATCAGGTTTGGATTGAAAGCAATCTAAATCAAAATGTATTTGAGCATATTAGACGGTCTAGACATTGAATTGGACTAGTCCAAGTTGGTCCAAAGCATTTATGGATTGGATTGGACCTGGTCCATTTATAATGGACTCACATTAGACTGGATCTGTTTGGACCAAATCCAGTTCAATTGACACCTTTATCTGAAACCAATCCCCCCATAAGTTTGTTCTATCAAAGTGTTTCAACCAATTCTGTTTATCTTTCTCTTATCCAGCCTATGGCTTGTCCATTTAAAGATCTCCAAATTTTATGTTAATAATTGCATTAGAAGGGAATTAAGCCATTAGTCATAATGACATCTAATTTCTATATCTTGAGAAGCCAGAAGATTAAAGGGGAGTGGTGGTGGAATTGAGGCTTCTCTTTTCGGTAAGGTAGTTGAATTGAGCTGGTTGAGAAGCTAGAAGATTAAAGGGGAGTGGTGGTGGAATTGATGCTTTTTTTTGGTAAGGTGGTTGAATTGAGCTGGTTGAATTGAATGAAAGGATTAGCTGAAATTGATAGCTGTTCATTGGCTGTGGGATCAATCATTTAGCTCCATATCGGACATAAAGTGCAAATGACCCACAATCACTCAAACTCTCACTTGCATTTATGGCTGGTGTGGAGTAAAACGTAGGGCTGCAAGTTGGGAGTGGTTAGGTCGGGTTGAGGTCAATCCTAGCCCAACCTTAAGTTCTAAACCCCAACCCTAATCCTAACCCAACCCGACCTTCAACCCGTCTTACCCAACCATAATCCTAACCCTAACTAAATTCCTTCAATCCTAGCCCAACCCAACCCAACTCGAAGTCAACTTCGGGTTCGATTGGGTTCGGGTTGAGCCCAACCCAACCTTCTTCCCATCCCTTAAAATCTCGTAAAACTTCTTAATCTCATATCTCAATTCAACTTTCACTACATATATTAATCATATGTTTTATTAGTATTTATTTGTTGATGTTTTTATTAGTTCTTTAAGTACAAAATTAAAAAAAAGAGTGTTTGAAATGATTATAGTTTATTTTGAGTTTAGCTTATAATAGATCTTTTATGGGCTATGGATGGAAAATAACAAAGAGGAGATAAAGAATAAAATATTCAAAAAATATAAGAAATGTTATTAAGGTTTGGGTATTTCCAATTAGGATAAAGTGAAGTGATTATCTTAAAAGAAATAAATGATAGTATGTAGTAGGGGCTATACAACTATCATGCATATAAAAAAAATCAATGTATGATATTATATATATATATATATATTTATTTATTTATTTATATATATATATATATTTATATATGATATGTACTATAGAGTTGGGTTCGGGTTGGGTCGTGTTGTTCGAAGGGTCAACCCTAACCCTAACCTGATTATTGACTTGACTCGAACAAAGCCGACTTTTTAGGTTAGGTTAGGGTTGGGTTTGATCAAACCTGGCCCAAGTTGCAGCCTTGGTGTCATTTGATTGCACTTTTTAGAGGTCTTGGATATGAAAATGCTACTTTTTAGACCTCACCCTTTGTTTGGTTTTACCTCTTAAATATGGTTTGAATCTTATTTTCAGATTTGGAAATAATAGACCTTGGGCCGGCTCTTAATGCGCTCAGATGTGTTTTAGAGCTGGTGCATAGTCCAAAATATCTTTACAATATTTTGGAAATGACACGAGTTACCCCTAATAACCCTAAACCCAAAAAATCTAAACGTTTGACCTCTCTTTTTCTCTCGCTCTCGCTCTCTCTATCTCTATCTCTGTCTCTGTCTGTCTGTCTCTCTCTCTCCCCCTATCTTCTCTCGCTCTTGCTCTCACTCTCGCACTCACTTTCTCTCTCTCTCTCTCTCTCTCTTGCTCTCGCTCTCTCTCTTTCGCTCTCTTCACCCTGTATTCCCGCCACCGCTGCTGCAACCTGTAGTGGCGGCTCTCTCCCCCCTGTTTGCTGCTGCAACATGCAACAACGGTGGTTTGGTGAGTAAAAATATTTAATTATTCATTATTTTAATATTTTTATTAAATTTACTTGTGTTATTTATTAATTATTTTTATTATCTAGTAATTTTTAATTATTTTATTAATTTTTCAAAATTATTTTAATTTTTAATTATGTAAATTATTAGTTATTTTAATATTTTTTAGTCACTAATTATTTTTTAATTTTAATCATTTCATTTATTAATTAGTAATTAKTARTTTATTWWTTWTTATTTGTATTGTTTCAATATTATTTTGAGGTTGAAAATTATTTTTTATGAGATCATGTAAATTGAATTCAACATTTCCAAATGGTATATTTTAAGGGTAAAATAGTAAAATTGATAAATTTCAGATGGTAATGGATTGATCCAACACAACAAACTTATGGATTCACATTCATCTAAAAAGTAGAAAAGCATCTATGCCTCTTTTTAGATTTCAGACATTTAATATCTTTTTAACTTTTCAGATCTAAATTTTCAGATTTATCAAATGCCATTTGATCCCACAGGCATGAAAACAACTATAGAATTCAGCTAATCCCCTCTCGTCTTTAGGGAAAATTTGCAGGGCCAATGAGAGCCATTGCCTTTTATTGTATCTCTATGTTGGTGAATAGTGGGATCTACACTCCACTATCATTTGCCTTGTTATACAAGCCTCATATACTCAACTGAATTAGAGAGGGAAAACATGATTTAGGGTTTTTCTCAATTGTCTTTCTTTAGTTTCCATGTAAAGATCGATATACCCTCTACTCSTTTCATTCATTTGGCATTTCACAATGTCAAAAAGTGTATTTATTTTTTACATTTTCAACTTTCCGTGTCATACCTCCATTAGTCTAAAAATTCAACTAGTCTAATAGTCCAAATTGACCCCACCCTCTTATATTTTCTTTTAACCTTAATGGGTTCAATATGGGAAAATGGGCTGAAATAATACATATATAGTTCATGCTTTTTTTTTTTTTTTTTTGAATTTCATTTCAGTGGGTACAGTTGACTCCATTGAAATATATGTAGCTCCGCCCCTGTCAATACTTAGTGTGGGTTGATACCTTAAGCATTCTCATTCATGTCTTAGTGTTTGCTTGGAGCAAACAAGAGAGCAAAAGTGTTAAACAAACTATTTCTTTTTGCAAAAGGAGAAAAAGAGTTTTAATCTTTTTTACAAGAAAAACAAGGGCATTTTCAGTTAATGTTTTGGTTGCAGTTTTGAGTTTATTCTATCAAGCTTGTGGTAGATGTTCTTGACTTTTCAATGGTTTATTTGAAGAGGGTTTTTGCAGACATGTTTAGAGGGGTCTTTCCCATCTTCTT